TGGCTATGGAACGCCCTCCCCAGGGCATTCCATAAGATCAGCTCCCTCCCTTCTAACATTCTGCAAGATGGTTAACACCTAGCTATTCGAGCAGGCTTTTACTACTGGAGCATAATTAGACAAAAATGAATCATGGAATGCTTGACGATGCAATTGGATCATGATTTTAGCAAGAAGACCTTGAGAATTTGTTTTTATAGATATTGTTTTTATATTTTTAATGTTTAACGTTTTTATAATTGTTTTTAACTGTACCCTGATATTGTTATGGCATCGAATCGCCGCTGACTGTGAACCGCCTTGAGTTGCCCTTGGCTGAGAAAGGCAGTATACAAATGCAGTAAATAAATAAATGAATATTTTTTCTATGTAAGTACACTTCAACTTTTGGCAGCAGTCTTCTAATTCATATATATATGACAACTGATATTTGCCCCTGTTGTTGTGGCTGGAAAAGTGATAAAGAAGCCCCAATCTTTCTTGATTTCTCTTTAATTGACAGAGTGCACTTGGTCCATCTCTGATAATCATCCAACATCATATGTATACGAGTCCAATATTGCTGGTCCTTTCTGCAAAGGCACCACAATATGATAAAAATATCCCAAGCCCTGAACGATTTGGGACCATCCTACCTGCGTGACCGTATCTCCGTCTACGAACCCACGCGTTCACTTCGGTCATCTGGAGAGGCCCTGCTCGTGATCCCGCCTGCGCCGCAAGCACGTTTGGTGGGGACACGAGACAGGGCCTTTTCTGTGGTGGCCCCCCGACTCTGGAACACCCTCCCCAAAGATCTTAGACAGGCCCCTACACTGGCAGTCTTCAGAAAGAACTTGAAGACCTGGCTGTTCCGATGTGCCTTCCCAGATTAGGAAATCTCCAATACCAAGTCCCATAAGCACTTTACTAAAACTAATATTGCTGCACACCGCACACTGCACCTGCCCTATACGCCTTATTTACCACCTGTCACATCAGCACTTTTAATCCTGTACCTATTACTCTGGCCCGGCCCAGTTTTATTGTGTCTTAGTTTTATTGTGTCTTAGTGTATTGTTTATTGCTTGTTGTTATATTGCTTTAATTGTTTTAATTTGCCTTAGGTGCTGTATTGTTATATTGTGTGTTGAGGCCTTGGCCTTTGTAAGCCGCATCGAGTCCTTCGGGAGATGCTAGCGGGGTACAAATAAAGTTTAATAATAATAATAATAATAATAATAATGTTGTGCTTTCATTTTTCAGTATTAATGAGCATTGCCTTTCTAGGTCTTAGATCAGAGCTTTCCACTGTGTGCCATGACACACAAGTGTGTCGACTGTAGCCCACAGGCACATCACATCAAAAATGACTCCCCCTGCCATCATTGGAAGAGGTGCCCCCGGTGGTGCAATGGGTTAAACTCTTGTGCCGGCAGGACTGCTGACTGAAAGGTCAGCGGCTCAAATCCGAGGAGTGGAGTGAGCTCCCGTCTGTCAGCTCCAGCTTCCCATGCGGACATGAGAGAAGCCTCCCACAGGATGGGAAAACATCTGGCCGTCCTCTGGGCAAGGTCTTTACAGACGGACAATTCTCTCAAATCAGAAGCAATTTGCAGTTTCTTAAGTTGCGCCTGACACACACACACACACACACACACAAACACAACTGGAAGATACTCTCAGAGGGCATCCAGTCGAACCCCCTTCAGCCAGGAAGGCACAATCAAATTCTAAGAATTGGCAGCTATCTAACCTCAGCTGAAAAATCTCCAGAAGAGACTCCAGACTCTCAGGCAGTCTATACTTCAATGGGGTCGGAAGAGACCCCCAAAGGGCATCAAGTCCAGCCCCTTTCAGCCAGCCAGGAAGACCATCAAAGCACCCATGGAAGGCTATCCAGCTTCTGCTTAAAAACATCCAGAGAAGTTTACAGGAGTTTACAGGTGTGGAGTGCTGGTGTATTAAACTGTGTTGTTGTTCATTCGTTCAGTTGTCTCCGACTCTTCGTGACCGCATGGACCAGCCCACGCCAGAGTTCCCTGTTGGCCGTCACCACCCCCAGCTCCTTCAAGGTCAGTCCAGTCACTTACCGACATATCTCTGGTTGTACTGGTCCATTTAGTTTTCTTGGCAAGGATACTGGGGTGGTTTGCCATTGCCTTCCCCAGGGATCACGCTTGGTCTGACCTCTCTGCCACGACCGTCCCGTCTTGGGTGGCCCTTCACGGTTTCGCTCATGACATCATTGAGGTGCTCAAGCTCCAGCGCCACGACACGGCGGTGATCCTTTGCTGGATTAAACTGTAGATTGTGTTATAACTTTTGCTATTTGCACCATTGGTTGATTGAGATGCAGCAATTACCATTAAAATGGATAAGTTTCTAATTCAGAAAATAAAACCTGTTGACAACAATGTTGTTTTATTTATTTATCTGTCTTGCCCAGGAGTTTTATAATTTTATCCTTTGCATTTGGCCCAGCTCGCTTTGTTTAATCCCTTTATCATTTTATATTTGTGTTATTATGTTCTTATTATTTTACTAGCTGTACCCGCCATGCGTTGCTGTGGCCAACTTTCCCTCCCTCTTTGTCTCCTTTCTTTGGGGGGAGATATAGTGCATGCATACACACACGCATACACATATGGGTGTGGATAATATGGCAATGTCTATGTTGAAAGGAAGTTGTGGAGAATACCTACATGGATGTTAGTTTTACTATATTTCCTCAACTCTCCCCTCAAATACACACAGTCACGCGGGAAATAAGTGGCTCTGCTGGAGTGCATGTCTTGAGGGGTTATTGTGGGGATGATCTTGCATGTGCATTAATTCCACTATATTTTCACAACTCCACACACCCATACGCACTCACTGTTGCTCTGCCAACATGTGTATGTTGCCAAGTTGTAAAAGATAGATAGATAGAATGATTTTCAATTCATATAGCAGTTCAAAAACATGCAAACGTGAGTAGAGCAATAGGTACCACTCTGGCAGGAAGGTAAGGGCGCTCCATGCAGACATGCCAGTGGCCACATGACTTTGGAGGTGTCTATGGACGAGGGGCGGCTCGTCCATTATGCAAAGTAAGCGGTCGCAGAACACTTTGTTTTGCCAGGGGCGCAGAGGCGCCTCTGTAAATGCCTCTCGATTGCCACTTGAGGAGTGCCCCCTCAGCTCACAACAGCCCTAGTAGTCCGGGGGGAGCCTCGGCTTTCTTGCCTCGCTGCCGGGCGATCCTCTTCCCAAAGGGGCCGGGCCATTAAGCCTCGCCTAGCCCCTCTCATTCCTGCTCCAGCCAGCCACCGGGTGCGAGCAGAGCCGGCGCTCAATCGTTCTCCGTGTTCGATCCCTTCCCCATGACCGGCTCCCTTTCCCAATCCCCTGGCGCTCCATTCACCTCCTCTCCTCTCCCCAATCCACGGGTGGGCCAAGGGGCAGAGCCACTGCGCCTGGCCCGCTTCGGGTCTGGAGGCGTGTTTGAAGACCCCAGCATGCGCACCAAAAGTCGCCTCTTCTTCTGACTTTCTCTTCAGCCATTGGGACCAAGAGAGAGAGAGAGAGAGAGCCCCTCCGGCTGGAGGTATCTCCCACCTCCGCTCCCTCCTTTGTTTTTGCGCCTACCTTCAGGAAAGGTGGGCATCTCCACCTCTCTCTCTCTCTTGGTCCCAATGGCTGAGGAGAAAGTCAGGAGAAGAGGTGACTTTTGGTGCACACGCCGGGGTCTTCAGGCACGCCTCCGGACCCAAAGCGGGCCAGGCAAGGGAGCAAGTGCGGCAAATGTAGTTACTGGGATGTATAGTTCACCTACAATCAGAGCATTCTGAACTCCACCAATGATGGAATTGAACCAAATATGGCACACAGAACTCCCACGATGAACAGAAAATATATATCAATGATTGGTTGGGGGTGGGGGCGCCAAAATACTGTTTGCTTACCGTTGAAAATTACCTAGGGCCGCCTCTGCTGTTGCCCTCTCTCTCTCTCTCTCTCTACCTTGGAGGGCCGTATTCGGCCTTAGTTTGAGGACCCCTGCCCTAGACCAGCCAATTATAATACTTATTTCCAAAATTCTGTTGTTTCTAATACAAGTTTGTTCCCCTTACCTTCAATATATGCATTTCTAACAATTTTTCCCATGTCTACCCAAAATCACCTTTTTTCAGTAGTCCTCTTTTAATCTTTATACTACCTGTCAGTTTATCATTTATTGCAATATCCCAGATCTCCCTATACCACTCCCCTCTTTCTTTCCATTTTTTAGCTATTAACAATCTTGCTGCTGTCTGCTTGTCTGCTTGTCTGCTTGTCTGCTTGCCTGCCTTCCTTCCTTCCTTCCTTCCTTCCTTCCTTCCTTCCTTCCTTCCTTCCTTCCCTGGGGCCTCTGCGCTTGGCTGCCTGCCAATTCCCCCCATTCAGATCCAGCACCCACAGCATCCACACCTCTGCCTCCCTCTTCCCCGCTCCCGAGTGATAGAGCAGCACCAGCCAGGCCAAAACAGTCAAGGGGCGGTGGAGCAGCGCATGGCCGTGGCGCTAAAGCCACAGATGCGGGGATCATTTCACTCTGCCTCCAAGTGCCTCCCCTTGATTCCTCACTGCCAAAGAGGAGGAGGAACCCCTCTGTGCCAACCTGGAGGCAAAGTGGTGTGGGCGTGGATGAAGGCTGGCAGAAGGGGGCGGCAGCCATTTTTGGGAGGCAGAGGAGGCGGGGCCTGAGAAGGTGGTTTCACGACCCCTCCCAAACTATCAAATTACCCCCCCCCCCAGGGGTCGCAACCCCCAAGTTGAGAACCGCCGATCTAGATCCAATGTCAACTGGGTTCAGTGGGTGAATTGCAGATTCCATCTGCAATTTCCATCGTCCATGAGCGATACTCTTCCAAACTGCACCTGGATGTAGAGTGAGTCATGGGAACTCTGTGTGCCAAGATTGGTACTGCTCAGTCATTGGTGGGGGTCGCAGTGGTCTCAGGAAAAGAGTGAAGGTAAGACTCAAAGCAGCTCACAAATTAAAAGCACTGCAATACAACTTAAAAAAATACAAATATTAAAACAGTATAAAACATCATTAATATTAAAACATTTTTTGGTTAAATCCATAAAAGCATGTGAACCATATAAAATCACAGCAGGGTTGGATTAGAAGGCCCATGTGGTCTCTTCCAACTCTATTATTCTATGATTTTATGCTATGTCTTTATAGGGTTTCTCCCCAGTGTGAGTCTTTTGATGTCTACGTAGATTTGAACTACGAGTGAAGCTCTGTCCACATTCCAGGCATTTATAGGGTTTCTCCCCAGTGTGAGTCTTTTCATGTGAACGTAGACCTGAACAATGAGTGAAACTCTGCCCACACTCCAGGCATGTATAGGGTTTCTCCCCAATGTGAGCCCTTTGATGTGAATGTAGACCTGAACAATGAGTGAAACTCTGTCCACACTCCAGGCATGTATAGGGTTTCTCCCCAGTGTGAGTCCTTTGATGTTTGCGTACATCTGAATTATAAGTGAACCTCTGTCCACATTCTAGGCATGTATAGGGTTTATCCCCAGTGTGACTCCTTTGATGTGAATATAGATGTGAACTCTGAGTGAACCTCTGTCCACACTCTGGGCATATGAAGGGTTTTTCTCCAGTGTGAGTCCTTTGATGTGAAAGTAGACCAGAACTACGAGTGAAGTTCTGTCCACATTCAAGGCATTTATAGGGTTTCTCTCCAGTGTGAGTCCTTTGATGTGAACGTAGATTTGAAATCTGAGTGAAGCTCTGTTCACACTCCAGACATTCATAAGGTTTCTCCCCAGTGTGAGTCCTTTGATGTGAACGTAGATTTGAACTATGAGTGAAGCTCTGTCCGCACTCCAGACATTTATTGGGTTTCTCTCCACTGTGAGTCTTTTGATGTGAACGTAGACCCGAACTACGCATGAAGCTCTGTCCACACTCCAGGCATGTATAGGGTTTCTCCCCAGTGTGAGTCCTTTGATGCTTACGTACATCTGAACTATGAGTGAAGCTGTTGCCACACTCCAAACATTCATAGGGTTTCTCCCCAGTATGAGTCCTTTGATGTGAACGTAGACTTGTACTCTGACTGAAGCTCTGACCACACTCCAAGCAGTTATAGGGTTTCTCTCCAGTGTGAGTCCTTTGATGTGAACGTAGATTCCCACTTTCAGTGAAGCTCTGTCCACACTCCAGACATTCATAAGGTTTCTCCCCAGTGTGAGTCCTTTGATGTCTACGTAGATTTCCACTCTGAGTGAAGCTCTGTCCACACTCCAGGCATGTATATGGTTTCTCCCCAGTGTGAGTCCTTTGGTGGGAACACAGACTTGACCTATGAGTGAAACTCTTTCCACACTCCAGGCATGTATAGGGTTTCTCCCCAGCGTGAGTCCTTTGATGTGAATGTAGACCTGAACTACATGTAAAGCTCTGGCCACATTCCAGGCATTCATAGGGCTTCTCCCTAGTGTGAGTCCTTTCATGTTGCTGCAAATAATCCCTTGAGGAAACCTCTTTCCACATTTCAGGCATTTAGAGGCTTTCTCCTTCATGCCAACAGTGATATAGGCGTCTAATTGCAATACAGATACTTGACTCTTCTTTTTTCCTTTTTTATCTGTGAGGTCAAGAATTCAGCAATATCATCACCTTGAGAAGATTTCTTCTTTCTACATGATTGGTTTCCTTACTGCATTCAAGAGTTGGCTCCACTGAATCCTCATTTCCCTGGTCAAGAAAGAAGCAAAAGATCAAAGATGGAGGTAAAGAAACCTTCTTTACCTACAAGATCTCCCCCCTTCGCTTCATTGGTCATGTTGAAAATGGAAATACCAAGAAATGCACACATCGGGGCTCAAGCACATACACAGAAACCAGCAAAGGGAATCAATGATTCTTTAAAAAGAAGGGAATTGATCCAGAAAGAAAGAAGGGAGGGATGGAGGAAGAAAAGAATGAATGATAGAAGCAAAAAAAGGGGAACCCCTAATTTTGGAGCACCATGTTGATGTCATTGTGTCACTAAAGGGATGGAAGGCAGGCAGGAAGACAGAAAGGAATGGTTCTTTGCAATATAAAGCAACATCATTCACTGGATTATGTGTTTTCTTGAATTACCAGGATGTGCTAAATGCTAAGGTACACAAAGATTACTGGGTTGCCTCCCTTCCTATCATGGGTCCCAGGTCTGCTTTCTGAGCACCCCAAATTCGATGCTTGCCAACACCAAATTTTCTGTCTTTTCCTAAAGAAATCCTGCAGCCAACCAAAATCCTACCTCTCCACCCAGCTAATGCAAAACCACATTGAGGCTTCTTAGAGATGCTCACATAATGAGTCTCTGCTGAACAAAGCCCCCTTTGCGTCATTCATTCCCTTGGCTCAGCCCCAGAATGGGATGCAAAGATAAGCACAGTGTCGCAGCTCAGAGTAGAGTCACCTTGCTCCAAACACCCAAACCACACAAAGGCTGAAGGTTTTGTAGTTTATTGAAGAAAAGAAAAGTCTTAAATGCAAAAGTAAGTTCCAAAAGTTCAATAGCAAACAGCTATCAAGAGGAGTGTGACCCCGTCCAGCACAGGTTGTGACCCTATACCCTGTTTGGCCTTGCGACTGACCAGATAGAAGATGAAATGCACACACATGCAATCAAGCAGTTGTTTTCCAGCTAAACTGTTGACTGTCCGAACAAATGCCTTCCCTTTAAGACCCCTCAAGACTCTTGGGAACAAGAATTGATATAAGAGACTTATTCTGGATGAGCTTCAAAGGAAAACGATGGGAGAGATTGTAAAGGGAACAATGAAATGACCAACTTTTAAAGATCGGCAAGTTATTGAGCATCACGGAGTATTATTACCCTCTGAGGGAGGAAAGTAGGAATTTTGATTTCCAAATTTATAGATACATATTTAAATTCAACAAATAATGATTTGTAATTAGTGGGATTAAACTGACTCCATGGGATTACAGTGAAAGACTCATCTTATCTCTGTTTTCGATAGTTACAATAATAAATAATAATACTTTATTTATATACCGCTCTGTGTCCCCGAGGGAGGAAAGAGGGAAGGAAGGACGGAGGAAAGGGTGGAGGGGAAGGATGGAAGAAAGAGTGGAAGGGAATGGAGTGAGGGAAGGGAAGACAAAAGGGAAGGGAGGGAGGGAAGGAAGGAGAAAGAGAGAGGGGGAAGGAAGGAGGAAAGAGAGGAAGGAATAATAGAGAATAATAAAAGTTTATTTATATACCGCTCTGTGTCCCCGAGGGAGGAAAGAGGGAAGGAAGGAAGGAGGAAAGGGTGGAGGGGAAGGATGGAAGAAAGAGTGGAAGGGAATGGAGTGAGGGAAGGGAAGACAAAAGGGAAGGGAGGGAGGGAAGGAAGGAGGAAAGAGAGGAAGGAATAATAAAGAATAATAAAAGTTTATTTATATACCGCTCTGTGTCCCCGAGGGAGGAAAGAGGGAAGGAAGGAAGGAGGAAAGGGTGGAAGAAAGGGTGGAAGGGAATGGAGTGAGGGAAGACAAAAGGGAGGGGGGAGGGAAGGACAGAGGGAAGGGGGGAGGAAAGGGTGGAGGGGAAGGATGGAAGAAAGAGTGGAAGGGAATGGAGTGAGGGAAGGGAACACAAAAGGGAAGGGAGGGAGGGAAGGAAGGAAGGAAGGAAGGAGAAAGAGAGAGAGGGAAGGAGGGAGGAAAGAGGGAAGGGAGGAAGGAAGGAAAGAGGAAAGGGTGGAAGGGAAGGAGAGGAGGAGGGAAGGAGAGAGGGAAGGGGGGAGGAAAGAGGGAAGGAAGGAAGGAGGAAAGGGTGGAGGGGAAGGATGGAAGAAAGAGTGGAAGAGAATGGAGTGAGGGAAGGGAAGACGAAAGGGAAGGGAGGGAAGGAAGGAAGGAGAAAGAGAGAGAGGGAAGGAGGGAGGAAAGAGGGAAGGGAGGAAGGAAGGAAAGAGGAAAGGGTGGAAGGGAAGGGAGTATGACTATTAAAGAAAAAAGGAAGGAACAAAAAGGAAGGAGGGGGGAAAGGAGAGGGGGAAGGGGGGAGGGAAGAGGGGAGGAAAGAGGGAAGGAAGTAGGAAAAGGTGAAAGGGAAGGAAGGAGGGAGGGAAGGAAAAAGAGGGAGGGAAGGAAGGTGGAAGGAAAGAGAGAAGGAAGCAGGCCTGTAGCGAGGGGGGGGTTAGGGGTTCACCCCCCCCCCCCCGAAATGTTTCAGATTTTTTTAAAAAACCCAGTTTACTCATGAATTTTAACTGGTTAACCAAATCCCCATGCTAAGTCTATGAGATGCAAAAAATTAAGAGTCCCTCCAGAACTGCAAGCACTATCTCAAGCAAATATTTATTTATTTATTTATTATTCAAACTTATATGCCGCCACTCCCCTGGGGCTCGGAGCGGCTTACAAGAACAGGCTAAAATCGAACACAATTTTAAAACAATTTAAAACAATTTAAAAACAGCAATATCAAAGATCAAAGTCCCGTCAAAACAGATATGTCTTACATGCCCTGCAGAAAGCTGATAAGTTCCGCAAGGCACGGACTTCAGGTGGCAGAGTATTCCAGAGTGGTGGTGCCACTGCTGTAAAGGCTCTGCGTCTGGTTGCTGTTAGGCGCAAGGTCTTGACACTGGGAATTTCCAATAGATCTTGGTCCTCAGAACGGAGGGATCTCTGGGGTTGGTAGGGGGTGAGGCGGTCCCTCAGGTACATCGGCCCCAGACCATGCAAGGCCTTAAATATTGACAATTTATTCACACTGTCATTACTTGCAGCAATAGCCGATGTAGTGAAGCAACCAAGTTGGGTGTGTGTGTGTTGAATGCTCTCATTAAGGAGGCCAGACTTGGTGGAGGTGGTTGACAGGGGCGGAGCTGCAGGCTATTGAAGGCTGCTCTGCACCCTGCTGTGCTCTTTGCTTCAGCGTGAGCTAGAAGGCAGGTTTCAACCCCCCCCCCCCAAATTTTCAAACCCCCCCCCTGAAAATTTCAACCCCTCCCGAAAAATTTTTCTGGCTACGGCCCTGGAAGGAAGGTTAGGATGGTGAGAGAGGACCCGAGAAAAGACCCCAAGGGGCCGGATCTAATTGTAACTGCTTTCCAATTGTGCTTTCATTTAGCCACCTTTGTGTCCATCCATAACTCAATTTGTTTGCAGCCTAGATCAGCTGTTTTGGAATTTTAAAATGTGCACTTGCACTGGAGCAGTCCACGCCAGAGGACAGGATCCGTCTCCGGACCTGGATTTCTAGGAGATCTATTCTTGATCTCAACCACTAGAGTTGGTGGGGGAAAGAGACGCCCTTGTGGAAGCCAGCAGGCTCCAGAGGAGAGGAATGAGGGCAGCCAAAGAGTGTGTGTGGGACAGGGCAGGAGGAGGAGCCCACCCCATCAAGCCCGCTTGTTTCCGGGGAGGGGTTTCCTTCCTCCCCTCTCCTTCAACCTTTTGCCTGCCTGAGGCCGCCCCCTTATTCCTATGGTTGAGGCGGTTTCTTTCTCTCAGCCTCTTTTCTCCCCAACCCGCTTCCTCCTTCTCCTCTTCCCCCAAAGGCTGCCTCTCACCTCCTCCATCACCCAGCCAGCCTTCCTCCTTCTTTCCTCCAAACGACACTCGGCTTCCGTCGCTTCTTCTCTTCTTTCTCCCTCAATGGAGGGGGCGGGCCTAGCGGTGACGTCACTCCCTCTAAAGAAGAAGCTCCTTCTTCTCTCCCTCTGCCCTCAGAGGCTGCCTTCCTTCCTGCCTTGCAACCACGTCAATCAAAGCTGCAGAGCGGCTGGCAGCCAATGGGAGCCTCCGGTGGGCGGGGCGTCACGGACGCAGCCAATCCGAGGTCGAAGGCCGCCTAGAGGGAGAAGAGGAAAGAGGCTTCTCCGTTGGGCCTCCCTCCGCAGGTTGTGAGAAGGGAAAGCAGAGAGAGAGAGAGAGAAAGAGAGGTAGGTGTGTGTATATATCTCTTCTTCTGTTGTTGTTGTTCATTCGTTCAGTCGTCTCCGACTCTTCGTGACCTCATGGACCAGCCCACGCCAGAGCTCCCTGTCGGCCGTCACCACCCCCAGCTCCTTCAAGGTCAGTCCAGTCACTTCATCCATCTTGCCCTTGGTCGGCCCCTCTTCCTTTTTCCTTCCACTTTCCCCAGCATAATTGTCTTCTCTAGGCTTTGCTGTCTCCTCATGATGTGGCCAAAGTACTTCAACTTTGACTCTAGTATCCTTCCCTCCAATGAGCAGTTGGGCTTTATTTCCTGGAGGATGGACTGGTTGGATCTTCTCGCAGTCCAAGGCACTCTCAGAACTTTCCTCCAACACCACAGCTCAAAAGCATCTCTCTTCCTTGGCTCAGCCTTCCCTAAGGTCCAGCTCTCACATCCATAGGGAATACCATGGCTTTGACTAGGCGGATCTTCGTGGCCAGTCTGATGTCTCTACTCTTTACGATTTTATCGAGACTGGACATTGCTCTCCTCCCAAGAAGCAAGCGTCTTCTGATTTCCTGGCCACAGTCTGCATCTGCAGTAATCTTTGCACCTAGAAATACAAAGTCTGTCACGGCCTCCACGTTTCTCCCTCTATTTTCCAGTTGTCAATCATTCTTGTTGCCATAATCTTGGTTTTTTTTTATGTTTAGCTGCAACCCAGTTTTTGTGCTTTCTTCTTTCACCTTGATTAGAAGGCTCCTCAGCTCCTCCTCGCTTTCGGCCATCAGAGTGGTGTCATCTGCATATCTGAGGTTGTTAATGTTTCTTCCAGCAATTTTCACCCCAGCTTTGCATTCATCAAGCCCCGCACATCCTCGGATGATGTGTTCTGCATACACGTTAAAAAGGTTGGGTGAGAGTATGCAGCCTTGCCGTACGCCTTTCCCAATCTTGAACCAGTCTGTTGTTCCGTGGTCAGTTCTGACTGTTGCGACTTGGTCCTTGTACAGATTCCTCAGGAGAGAGACAAGGTGGCTTGGGATGCCCATCCCACCAAGAACTTGCCACAATTTATTATGATCCACACAGTCAAAGGCTTTAGAATAGTCAATGAAGCAGAAGTAGATGTTTTTCTGAAACTCCCTGCCTTTCATTATCCAGCGGATATTGGCAATCTGGTCTCTCGTTCCTCTGCCTTTTCTAAACCTAGCTTGAACATCTGGCAACTCTCGCTCCATGTATTGCTGGAGTCTTCCTTGCAGGATCTTGAGCATTACCTTACTGGCATGAGAAATAAGGGCCACTGTACGGAAGTTTGAGCAGTCTTTCACATTTGCCTTTTTTGGTATGGGGATATAAGTTGATTTTTTCCAGTCTGATGGCCATTCTTGTGTTTTCCATATCTCTTCTTCTATATAAATAAAAATGTAATGTTCGTTTGTGGGATTAACAGAACTCAAAAACCACTGGACAAATTGACACCAAATTTGGACACAAGACACCTAACAACCCAATGTATGTCCTTCACTCAAAAAAATTGATTTTGTCATTTGGGAGTTGTAGTTGCTGGGATTTATAGTTCACCTACAATCAAAGAGCATTCTGAACCCCACCAATGATGGAATTGAACCAAACTTGGCACACAGTTCTCCCATGACCAACATAAAATACTGGAAGGGTTTGGTGAGCAGTGTCCTTGAGTTTTGGAGTTGTAGTTCACCTACATCCAGAGAACTGTGGACTCAAACAATGATGGATCTGGACCAAACTCTACACGAATACTCAATATGCCCAAATGTGAACACTGGTGGAGTTTGGGGAAAGTAGAATCTTGACATTTGGGAGTTGTAGTTGCTGGGATTTATAGTTCACCTACAATCATAGAGCATTCTGAACCCCACCAATGATAGAATTGGGCCAAACCTCCCACACAGAACTCCATGTGGACCACACTAATGCGTGTCAGGGGACAGCTAGTATATAATATATGTGTGTGTGTACTTTTATTTACTTACACATTCAGAAGAAGAAGAAGCCACTCTAAACACCTTCGCAGAAGCTCAGCCTGTCACTGAACGTTGAGAAAACCAAAGTGCTCTTCCAGCAGTCACCAGCCAATCCGTCTGCAATGTCAAAAATGCAGCTTAATGATGTAACATTGGAACATGTTGACCATTTTTGCTTCCTTGGCAGCCACCTCTCCACAAAAGTCAACACTGACACTGAAATACAACACCGCCTGAGCTCTTGAGTTGTTCTTGTTGAAGGTCCCAGCTGCCCATGACTCCTCAGTGCCTCCCTCACAATGGCCCTCACTAGACAGGAAGTGGCCGCAGAAGCATACGAGAAGCTTGGCCTGTCATTGAACATCGAGAAAACCAAAGTGCTGTTCCAGCAGTCACCAACCAATCCCTCTCCAATGCCAGAGATACAGCTTAATGGTGTAACGTTAGAAAATGTTAACCATTTCCGCTACCTTGGCAGCCATCTCTCCACCAAAGTCAACATTGACACTGAAATACAACACTGCCTGAGCTCTGCGAGTGCAGCATTGTTCCGAATGAAGCAGAGAGTGTTTGAGGACCAGGACATCCGTAGGGAGACCAAGGTGCTTGTTTATAAAGCTATTGTCCTCCCAAACATGGTATATGCCTGCGAAATGTGGACTGGCTACAGACATCACATGCAACTCCTGGAACGATTCCATCAGTGCTGCAAATCTCTTGGGATGACAAGCGGACAAATGTCAGCGTGCTGGAAGAAGCAAAGACCACCAGAATTGAAGCGATGGTCCTCCACCATCAATTCCGCTGGACTGGCCACGTTGTCTGGATGCCTGACTACCGTCTCCCAAAGCAGTTGCTCTAATCCGAACGGAAAACGGAATGTTGGTGGGCAGGAAAAGAGATTTAAAGACAGGCTCAAAGCCAACCTTAAAAACTGTGGCATAGACACAAAACTGGGAAGCCCTGGCCCTTGAGTGCTCCAGCTGGAGGTCAGCTGTGACAAGCAGTGCTGTAGAATTCAAAGAGGCACGAATTCTACAGCAAAAGAGAGAAACATGCCAAGAGGAAGGTGCGTCAAGCCAACCCTGACCGGGACTATCAGAAGACATTTACTTCTTGGGAGGAGAGCAATGACCAATCTTGATAAAATAGTGAAAAGTACAGACATCACACTGGTAACGAAGGTCTTCATAGTTAAAGCAATGGTATTCCCTGTTTGAACCAGGACCAACTTTTTTCTGTTATGTTCACTCAGAGTGCCTGGAATCCATTCCTTGTTGTTTATGAATCTGTAGTTACTTTTGCTGGTTTTTTTCTGTACGTCCTTGAGATTATTTATTTATTTATTTATTTAAAACTTTTATATCACAATCTTCTCACCTCCGTAGAGGGACTCAGACCAGCTTATAGCAAGGATTCAATGCTACTAATACAAGTTATTATTATTATTATAACTTTATTTGTACCCCGCTAGCATCTCCCAAGGGATTCGATGCAGCTTACAACAAGCCGGAGCCCAACACAATACAACAGTACAATACATAGCAAATAAAACAGTTAAAGAAAACAACAACAGCAGCAATACAACAGGACATCATTAAAAACTGAGCCAGCCTGGAATAGGGTACAGGATTAAAAGTGCTGAAGTGTCAGAGGGATATGGGGTTAAAATATAGGTGCAGTGTGCGGTGAGGGTGATCTTAACTCTACTAAAGTGCTTCTGGGCTTTGGTGGTGGGGTTCCTAATCTGAGAAGGCACATCGGAACAGCCAGGTTTTCAGGTTCTTTCTGAAAACCGCCAAGGTAGGGGCCTGTCTGAGATCTTTCGGGAGGGCATTCCAGAGGCGGGGAGCCACCACAGAGAAGGCCCTGTCCCGTGTCCCCACCAAGCGTGCCTGCGACGCGGGCGGGATCACGAGCAGGGCCTCTCCTGATCACCGGAGTGAGCGTGTGGGTTCGTAGACTGTGATGTGGTCTCGCAGGTAGGGTGGTCCCAAACCGTTCAGGGCTTTGTAGGTAAGCACCTGCACCTTAAATTGGGCTCGGAAAATAAACGGCAGCCAGTGGAGCTCCTTCAACAGAAGGGTTGACCTCTTTCTGTAATGGGCCCCTGTTAGCATCCTGGCTGCTGCCCGTTGGACCAATTGGAATTTCCGAGCCGTTTTCAAGGGCAGCCCCACGTAGAGCGCATTGCAGTAATCCAGTCTAGAGGTGACTAAGGCATGGACCACCCCGGCCAGATCAGCCTTCGCGAGGTACGGGCGCAGCTGGCGCACAAGTCTCAGTTGTGCAAAATCCCTCCCGGCCACCGCCGACGCCTGAGCCTCAAGCGTGAGCGATGAGTCCAGGAGGACTCCCAAGCTGTGGACCTGTGGCTTCAGGGGGNAAAAGCCCTCCCGGCCACCACCGATGCCTGAGCCTCAAGCGTGAGCGATGAGTCCAGGAGGACTCCCAAGCTGCGTACCTGTGGCTTCAGGGGGAGTGTAGCCCCGTCCAACACAGGTTGCCACCCTATACCCCAGTCTGGTTTGCGATCGACCAGGAGGACCTCTGTCTTGTTGGGATTGATCTTCAGCTTGTTCGTCCTCATCCAGATGGACACAGCGGCCAGGCACTCGTCTAGCACCCGAGAGGCCTCCTTGGAATTAGGTGGAAAAGAGTAGTAGAGTTGTGCGTCATCTGCGTAGAGATGGCACCCAACTCCAAAACTCCGGATGACCTCTCCCAGCGGTTTCATGTAGATGTTAAAAAGCATGGGAGATAAAATAGAGCCTTGCGGGACCCCACAGGTCAAAGGCCAGGGCTCCGAGCAGGCATCTCCCATCTTCACCATCTGGGTTTCGTCCCTACAGGAAGGACCGGAGCCACGACAGAACCGTGCCCCCAAGACCCATCCCAGAGAGCCAACCCAGAAGGATACCATGATCGATGGTATCGAAAGCCGCTGAGATCTCCAAGAGGACCAGCAGGGTTACACTCCCCCTGTCCAGTCCTCTACGGAGGTCATCCACCAAGGCGACCAAGGCTGTCTCGGTGCCATGACCAGGCCTGAAACCAGACTGTGCCCGATCCAGGTAATTGATGTCATCCAGGAAGCCCTGGAGCTGGAGGGCGACCACCCGCTCCAGCACCTTACCCAAAAAAGGAAGGTTGGAGATTGGTCTGTAATTGTTCAGCACCATAGAGTCAAGGGACGACTTTTTTAGGAGTGGACGAACCACAGCCTGTTCCAAGTTAGATGGAAAAATCCCTTGCTCCAACGATGCATTAATGATCAACACAAACCAATCAACCAACCCCTTCTTGGCAGATTTAATGAGCCAGGATGGGCAAGGGTCTAGAGCCGAAGTGGTCGCCCTCACAGCACCAAGAACCTCCTCCACGGTCTCAGGAAGAACAAGCCGAAAGGAATCCCACAAAATTGGACAAGCAGATGCCTCAGTCACCTCCTCTGGCACTGCGATGAAATTGGAGCTCAAGACATATCTGGGCAACCTTGCCTGCAAAATGGTGTGCGAAATCGCAACACCGAGCTGCTGGGTCGTCAGAGATCTTTCATCGCAGCCAACTCCTCGGTAAACCAAGGAGACGGCCTGTCATGACGCAACGAGACAGGTTTAAAACATCATACAACAATACAAGATTAAAATACATATAGAAAGAGAGAAAGGAGGGGAGGGGAAGGGGAGGGGAGGGGGGGGGGGAGGAGGGAGGGAAGGAGGGGGGGAGGGAAGGGGTGGGGGGGGGAGGGAAGGGGGGAGGGGGAGAGGGGGAAAGAAAGGGGAGAAAGAGGAGGGAAAAGAAGGGGGGGGGGGAGGGGGGAAAAGGAGGGGGAGGGGAAGGGGGGGGGGGGAAAGGGGGTGGTGGATAAAATACATATATACCAAATCGCCAAGGTAAAATCATGTTCAACTCAGTCCGCGTATGTGGTCACTCACTTTGGTCTGTAATCAGTCTCGGCCATTATTCTGGGAATGCTTCGTTCCATAACCAGGATTTCACTAGCCTCCTGAAGGACAAGAGGGAGTGGGCAGATCTTTATATCTCTTTTTCTTGGTATTTCCATTTTCATCATGATCGATGAAAGGAAAATGGGATAATATTGGAGGTTAAAGAGGTTTGGGTCTTCACATTTAACCTTTTGCTTCTTTTTTCTTGAACAGGGACATTGAGGGCTCAATGGAGCCACCTTTGGCATGAGAAGAAACAAATCAGCTTCTCCTGGATATTGAGGAATTTGGAAACTAAAGTGCAGTAAGGAAATTGTAGGAAAAATAATCTTCTCACGGTGCTGATCTTGCTGAATTCTTAAACTTATTCTAGATCAGAAAGGGAAAAACAAGACTCAAGATTCCATATCTACACATCACATCTATACATAATTATCTAGACATAACATTTTCAGCATGGAGGACAAAGCATATATATGTATTGAATGTGGAAAGAGCTTTAGTCAGCATGGAAATCTAAAGACACATCAAAGGACACACACTGGGGAGAAACCTTATAAATGCCTGGAGTGTGGACAGAGCTTTGCTCAGAGAGTAAATCTACGTACACATCAAAGGACCCACACTGGGGAGAAACCCTATAAATGTCTGGAGTGTGGACAGAGTTTCACTGAGAGTGGAAGTGTGCGTTCACATCAAAGGACTCACACTGGAGAGAAACCATATAAATGCCTGGAGTGTGGACAGAGCTTTACTCAGAGGGGAACTCTACAAACACATCAAAGGACTCACACTGGGGAGAAACCCTATAAATGCTTGGAGTGTGGAAAGACCTTTGCTCAGAATGGAGGTCTAAATTCACATCAAAAGACTCACACTGGGAAGAAACACTATAAATGCCTGGAGTGCGGACTGAGTTTCACTCATAATGCAGGTCTACGTTCACATCAAAGGACTCACACTGGGGAGAAACCCTATACATGTCTGGAGTGTGGAAAGAGCTTTACTGAGAGTGGATGTCTACATAAACATAAAAGGATTCATACTGGGGAGAAACCCTATAAATGCCTAGAATGTGGACAGAGTTTCACTCAGAGTTCACATCTACGTTCACATCAAAGGATTCACACTGGAGAGAAACCCTATAAATGCCTGGATTGTGGAATGAGTTTTGCTCAGAGTGGAAGTCTACATTCACATGAAAGGATTCACACTGGGGAGCAACACTATAAATGCATGGAGTGTGCACTGAGCTTCACTCAGAGTGGAAATCTACATTCACATCAAAGGACCCATGCTGGGGAAAAACCCTATATATGCCTGGAGTGTGGACTGAGCTTCACTCAGAATGAAGGTCTGTATTCACATCAAATGACTCACACTGGGAAGAAACCCTATAAATACATGGAGTGTGGACAGAGCTTCGCTTGGACGGACCATCTGCTGCAACATGAAAAGACCCACACTGGGGAGAAACCCTATAAATGCCTTGAAGGAAATTGTTAAGTTTGCATTTACAGTGGCATCAGTGTTTTGTTTATTAATAATGCTGGATGGCAATCTAGAAATAAAATTTGAAAAGATTACTAAAATATATGATAACACTGTGCAACAAAATTTGAAAAAACTCTGTTCCTAATTTGAAAGTGTTATTTCACTGTTTTAATTGTGAGGTGCTTACTTTGAAAGTAGTTGTTACACTCCAGAGACTTTGGTTTTGTGGCTGCCACAAACTATATTGGATTGGTTGAGTCATTGAGAAACTATTGCAAAATGGACTGCAGGATGTCTTGCAAAAAAACAAAGTTTTTGTAGTTTTATAAATTTTTCCATGTTTTTATGATTGATCCAATTAGAATATGACCCTTATAACCCAGGGAAAAAAATGATGTTACATAGTATAATTGCCGTAAGAATCCTTTATCCTCAGAGATGGAAGGAAGTAGTTTTCCAATTCAAGGAAATGGATTGACAAAGATCCACAAACTAGCACAAATTGAGAAACTGACTTTGCTGATTAAGGAGAAACCTTAGATCGCCTTCAAGACATATTGGAACTTTTTATAACATTTTAATGACAACATTTGGGGCATATGTCAAGTATAAGATTTATGAATTAGAATAGTTGTACCAAAAGCAGAAGTATGCCTTTGGACAGTTTACCTGTCCAAACGTATCTCCCCCTATGAACCAGCTCAAAGACAACGATTGTCTGGGGAGGCCCAGCTCTCAGTCCCACCTTCCTTGCAGGCGTGGCTGGTGGGGACTTCTCAGTGGTGACCCCTTGGTTGTGGAACTTTCTCAGTCCCAGCCAGCCTTGCAGGCATGGCTGGTGGGGACTTCTCAGTGGTGACCCCTTGGTTGTGGAACTCCCTCCCTAGCAGTATTAGATCAGCCCCCTCCCTCCTAGCCTTCAGAAGAAGAGTAAAAACCTGGCTCTGGGGGCAGGTTTTTGAAAAATAGAGCAGTACAGTAATTATAATGTGGATTATGTGCAATTGATTACGGAATGGCTTTAGATTCTGATCCCTGGATGACGTGTTTTAACATTGAATGTATTTTAATTATGTTAAATATATTCTAATTTTAATCCAATTTACTTTTAAGTAAATATTGTATGTTTTGAGGCACTGTTGGTGCCACTTGTAAGCCGCCTTGAGTCCCCCTCGGGGTAAAGAAAGGTGAGATATAAATAAGGCAAATAAATAAATAATAAATTATGTAGAATTGTCTGAATGGAGTAGAATAATGAAGTATAAATACAAACAAATAAAGTGTGCGGTTTATAGAATTATACCAATGTCTGTTTGTTTATTTGTTAGTTTGTGTGTATATATCTATGTAGGTGTGTGTTCATTTCTAATTTAGTATTGTTCTTTTTTGTTGTAGGTAGCTAGTTAGCTGCATCTTAAAGTTTCTTTTTGTGATATCATTACTTTTTTACCCTTTAAAAATCAGAATAGTTTCTAAAAAGATCAGAAATTTAGAAAGGTTGAAATTGCTGAGACTGGAGTGGCCCATACACCTGTTTTATACAGATTTTAACTGTCGAATTGTACTTTAATCTATGATGCCTGACTGATTGCTTTATATCTTTTAGCCAAAGATGTTTAATATGTTTTAATAGTATGTGTAAATGTTATATTTTTTATGATCACACACAGCATTGAATATTTGCCATTTTCGTTTTGGAAGCCGCCCTGAGTCCCTCCGGGGGAGAGTGTGGGTTAAAAATAAAATTGTTATTATTATTATTATTCCACACAGCTCAAGTTTGGTCCAATTTAATTGTGGTTGGATTTCAGAATGCTCTTTGATGGCCAGGGAACTAAACACCCCAACAAGTCCCAAATGCCAAGGTCTTTTTTCCCAAAACCTCTCCAGTGTTTTCTATTGTTCGTGAGAGTTCTGCAGGCCAAGTTTGGTCCAATTTAATTGTTGGAGTTCAGAATGCTCTTTGATGGCTGGGGAACTATACATCCCAACAACCCCCAAATGCCAAGGTCTATTTTCCCCAAACTCCCACCAGATTTGGGCATACTGAGTATTTGTGCCAAGTTCTGTCCAGATCCATAGTAATTTGGGTTCACAGTGCTCTCTGGATGTAGGTGAACTACTTCTCCCATAATTCACTATCAATTCCCCCCAACCCCCTCCAGTATTTTCTATTGGTCATTAGGTCTGTATTTTGGGGGGAGGGGAGGGGTGTCTCGGTGGTCTCTGGAAGTCAGAGCTGCATTGGTTGAAGGTACTTCAGATCCCATCATCCATTGCCCACACTCCCCCAAACATATTGTTTTTCTGATTAATCACTATGCTTTAATTATGTTTAATTTGTAACAATGAAAATACATCCTTCATATCAGACATTTACATTACATTTCATAGGTAAGGTAAAGGTAGTCCCCTGACATTAAGTCCAGTCATGTCTGACTCTGGGGTGTGGTGCTTATCTCCATTTCCAAGCCGAAGAACCAGCGTTGTCCGTAGACACCTCCAAGGTCATGTGGCCGGCATGACTGCATGGAGCGCTGTTACCTTCCCGCCGGAGCGGTACCTATTGATCTACTCACATTTGCATGTTTTCGAACTGCTAGGTTGGCAGAAGCTAGGGCTGACAGCGGAAGCTCACGCCGCTCCCCGGAATCAAACCTGCGACCTTTTGATCAACAAGCTCAACAGCTCAGTGCTTTAACCCACTGCGCCACCGGGGGCTTACATTTCATAACAGTACCAAAATTACTGTTATGAAGCAGCAACGAAAATGTGGTTGGGGGTCACCACAACATGAGGAACTTTATTTAGGGGTCATGGCATTAGAAAGGTTGAGAACCACTGCTCTAGACCATGGCCATACAGCCCGAAAAAACCTACAACAACACAATATTAGGAAAGTTTTATGAAGGAAAGGCTGAGTAAATACATAAACAAAAGTCACACAGAAACTATGTTTAAAGTAACATCTTCATAAGAGAAGAATCAATAACTATCATTGTAACCATAAAGCATTTATACTGTATATACTCTTATGTAACTGGAAGGATATAAATAAACCAACAGTTACTGTTTCGCCTTAAGCAGAGTCTCACTCTCAATCTCTAATCCTCAGTTTAAATGAGAACAAAACGGTGATAGTAGAATTAAACATCCTTTATATTTATTGGTGGAATATCTACACAGGCTGGCAGCCTGGCCCCTTTTCACACCATCCCTTATTGTTTTTCAGTATGTGATCACCTTTGCTGGTTTCTGTGTGTGCCTTTGAGACCCTTCACATCTCAATTTCTTGGTGTTCCCATTTTCAACATGGGCCATGAAGGGAAAAGAGAGTAATCTTAGAAATAAAGAAGGTTTGCAGCTTCATGTTTAATCTTTTGCTTCTTTTTTCTTGACTAGGGGAATGAAGACCGTATGAAGTCAGCTCTGGCATGATAAGAAATATGAGTATCTACTTGATATTTAGGAATTTGGAAATCAAAAATCAGTAATGAAAGGAATCCTATAGGAAGAAGAAATCCTCTCAATAGTGGAAAAAGAAAAAGGGAACATTCACATGTCTATATTGCAGTTAATCATATACAAAACAGTCATCATGGAGGAGAAACTCTATACATGTCTTGAGTGTGGAAAGAGCTTCACTCAGAGGAGCCATCTGCTACAACATGAAAGGACTCACACTGGGGAGAAACCCTATAAATGTCTGGAGTGTGGACAGAGCTTCGCTCAGGGCGGAAGTCTACATAGACATCAAAGGATTCACACTGGGGAGAAACCTTATAAATGCATGGAATGTGGACAGAACTTCATTGAAAGTGGACATCTATGTTCACATCAAAGAATTCACACTGGGGAGAAGCCCTATAAATGCCTGGAGTGTGGACTGAGCTTTGCTCGTAGTGGAAGTCTGCATTCACATCAAAGGACTCACACAGGGGAGAAACCCTATAAATGCCTGGAGTGTGGGCAGAGTTTCACTGAGAGTGGAAATCTACGTTCGCATCAAAGGACTCACACTGGGGAGAAACCCTATAAATGCCTGGAGTGTGGACAGAGCTTCACTGAGAGTGGAAATCTACGTTCGCATCAAAGGACTCACACTGGGGAGAAACCCTATACATGCCTGCAGTGTGGACAGAGCTTTACTCGTAGTACAGGTCTACATTCGCATCAAGGGACTCACACTGGGGAGAAACCCTATAAATGTCTGGAGTGTGGACACGGCTTCACTAATAGTTCAGGTCTACATAAACATCAAAGGATTCACACTGGGGAGAAACCCTATAAATGCCTGGAGTGTGGACGGAGCTTTACTCAGAGAGAAAACCTACGTTCACATCAAAGGACTCACACTGGGGAGAAACTCTATAAATGCCTGGAATGTGGACAGAGCTTCACTCATAGTTCAGGTCTACGTTCCCATCACAGGACTCATACTGGGGAGAAACCCTATACATCCCTTGAAGGAAATGATTAAGGTTACATTTACAATGACTCCACAGTTTTGTATCTTAAGAGTGCTGGATGATCATCCAGAATGAAAATTTGAAAGATTACTAAAATACATGATAATTGCAGATAGAATCCGATATCCTCAGAGATGGAAGGAAGAAGTCTCAACTCAAGTTCATTGACTTATGAAGATTTGCAAACTTGCAGAGATGGAGAAACTGATGCTGCTGATTAACGAGGAGAAAATTGATTGCTTTCAAGAAGCATTGGAACTTTCAAATCACTTTTTCATGACAACCATCGGGATATGTCAAGTGTAAGATTTGAGTTGGAACAGTGGTACCAAAGGCAGAAATATGCTTATATGGGATTATCTAAATGGAGTCGAGTGATAAGGTACAAAAACCAACAAACAGAGTGCAAAGTTTGTATAATTAGACTCATGCCTGTTTGTTTATTTCAGGGGTCCTCAGACTTTTTAAACCGGGGGCCAGTTCACTGTCCCTCAGACCGTTGGAGGGCCGGACTATAGTTTTTTTAAAAAATCAATAAAAAAATTCCTATGCACATTGCACATATCTTATTTTGCTGTGTGGAAGGGCCCTTCGAGGGGGTTCTTTCTAGCCCTCTTTAGGCAGTAATTCCAGGAGCAGAGAATGGGAAATCTTCCTATTTCTAGTCTGAACAAAATCTGGCTACCAGTATTAAAAAAACTCTAAAATTATAACTGTAAATAAAGAACAACACTCAAACACAGGGGAACTCCAGACAAGAAACAATCAGGGCCAGCTAATCACCTCTCAACAAAGGATTCTCCCTAAAAACTGTCAGGCTATGAAATGATAATCAAGGTGGCCAATTGAAACATTCATACCTACCTCCAACAGACAAGAGTTCTTTCTCCCACCCTGGATCTTCCACAATTTTCCTAGTTAAAGGTTTTCCTCTGACATGAAGTCCAGTCGTGTCTGACTCTGGGGTGTGGTGCTCATCTGCATTTCTAAGTCAAAGAGCCGGCGTTGTCCGTAGACACCTCCAAGGTCATGTGGCTGGCATGACTGCATGGAGCGCCGGGGCAGCCTCCCTTGGCTGGCTCACGCTGCCCATCGCTGCCCGATGGGCAGCGTGAGCCTGCCAAGGGAGGAGCAGCACCGCGCGGCCTACTCTCACGTAAAGCACCTCGCGAAGTGCTTTACGTGTGAGTAGGCAGCGCGGAACAGCTGCCCATGGCTGGCTCACGCTGCCCATCAGGCCCGATGAGCAGCATGAGCCTGCCAAGGGAGGAGCAGCACCACACTGCCTACTCGCGCGTAAAGCACCTACTCGTAAAGCACGAGTAGGCCATGTGGAGCAGCAGCCCTTGGCTGGCTCACGCTGCCCATCGGGCCTGACGGATAGCATGAGCCAGCCAAGGGAGGGGCACTGTGTGTGTGGGGGGGCGCTCCTCCTCCGAGGGCCAGATAAGTGCCCTTGGTGGGCCGGAAGTGGCCCACGGGCCATAGTTTGAGGACCCCTGGTTTATTTGTTAGTGTAGTTTACGTTTGTGTATGTCTATGTATGTGTGTATTTTGCTGGTGTGTTTGTTTTTAATTTACTCTTGTACTTTGTAGTAGTAGCTAGTAAGTTAGCTGCATAGCTTTAGCATTATGCGTTATAACATTTCTGCTTTTTGTGGTATTATTGCTTTTTACATTTTGAAAAATTAAAATATTTATGTATTTATTTGTTGATTACATACATTTCCATCCCGCCCTTCTCCCTACAAGGGGACTCAGGGTAGCCTTACATAAGCATCCGAGGATGCTATCCACATAAATATCAATAAAATCACAGTTAAACAATAAAATCCATTTAAAACATTATACAAAATTCAACAATAAATTCATTAACAATAAATTAACGTGCCAATATGCCAAAGCCAAGCCAGGAAAATCCAGTGTCACGATGTCCAGAAAATTTCTCTTCCATATTGACATTCCCCTCTAGTCAATTGTCTGGTTCCAGAGCCAGATCTTCAGTTGTTTCTAAAGGACAAGAGGGAGGTGGCCAACCTGATGTCCTTAGGGAGGGAGTTCCACAGACGGGGCCACTGCTGAAAAGACCCTGTCTCTCGTCTCCACCAACTGTATTTGCAAAATAATTTCCAAAAAGGTGGAAAATTCAGAAAGGTTAAAATTGCTGAGACTGGAGTGGCCAGTACACCTGTTTTTAGACCAGTATGGGGCTTAATCTCTAATTTATTGTGTCTTTAAGGTTGGCTGCATAACTCTGGAGTCTTTTGTTATCCTTCATTATTATTATTATGACTTGTTTTGCAACGTATAAGTCCAGGGTGGGAGAAAGAATTCTTGTCTGTTGGAGCTAGGTGTGAATGTTTCAATTTGCCACCTTGATTAGCATTTGATGGCCTGACAGTTTTTAGGTGTGGCTTGTTACTATTTGGGGGAATCCTATGTTGAGAGGTGACAACAGACAAGAGTTCTTTCTCCCACTCTGGACTTTCCACTGATATATAAACCCAACTTCTCGGAAGCTTCAATTAGTCCAACGGTCGGCAGCCATGTTGTTAACTGGAGCAGCGTACAGGGAGCGTACTACTCCTCTGTTGCGTCAGCTCCACTGGCTGCCGATTGGCTTCCGGCAAAGTGCTGGTTTTAACCTTTAAAGCCCTGAACAGTTCTGGCCCAGATTACTTGTCCAAACGTATCTCCTGCTATGAACCATCATGAAGCTTAAGATAGTCAGGAGAGGCCCTGCTCTCGATCCCACCACTCTTGCATACGTGGTTGGTGGGGACGAGAGACAGTGGCCCCCTGTCTGTGGAACTCCCTCCCTAAGAACATCAGGTTGGCCACCTCCCTCCTGTCCTTTAGAAGACAACTAAAGACCTGGCTCTGCGACCAGGTGTTTAATTATATGTTAATGACAATAGGAAAGGATTTTGGGTTGTGAAACTGGATTTCCCGGTTTGATTTTTGTTTTACTGGCATTTTAATATTATCTGGTAAATGAATGTATTGGCTGATGTGTTTGATGTTTTAAGATGATTTTACTGTTTTACTGTATTCTTTGATGTATATGTTGTAAGCATCGTTGATGCCTACGTGAGGCCGCTCTGAGTCCCCTTGTGGGGAGAAGGGTGGGATAGAAGTGTATGAAATAAATAAATAATAAATAATTTTCCTAGTTTCTAACAGACCTCACAACCTCTTAGGATGGCTGCCATAGAGGCAAGCGAAACGTCAGGGGAGAATGCTTCTAGAACATGGCCATACAGCCCGAAAAACCTACAACAACCCAGTACTCCTGGTCAGTTGGAAGGTGGATCAGGATGTGGGATTACAGCCTGTGTTGGACTCCCCTTGATGACACAGGTTCACAGTCTGGGGGTGATCCTGGATTCATCGCTGACCCTGGAACCCCAGGTGTTGACGATAGCCAGAAGCGTCTTTGCACAAGTGAAACTTGTGCACCAGCTGCGCACACTCTGGTCCAGAGCAGCAGTTGGTGCTGCGAGGAAGGGTCCCCAACTGATGACATGCAGGGGACAAGATGGAACTGTCACCTAGCCCCCCTCTCTTCACTCTGGCCCAGAGTGGCAGTTGGTGCTGGGGGGATGGGTCCCTAACTGATGACATGCAGAAGACAAGGTGGAACTGTCCCCTGCCCCCCCCCTTCACTGTGGCCCTGAGTTGGTGCTGGAGGGAGGGGTCTCCAGCTGATGACATGCAGGAGACAAGATGGAACTGTCACCTAGACCCCCTCTCTTCACTCAGGCCCAGAGCGGCAGTTGGTGCTGGGGGGAGGGGTCCCCAACTGATGACATGCAGGAGACAAGATGGAACTGTCACCTAGACCCCCTTTCTTCACTCAGGCCCAGAGCGGCAGTTGGTGCTGGGGGAGGGGTCCCCAACTGATGACATGCAGGAGACAAGATGGAACTGTCCCCTGCCCCCCCCCTCTTCACTCTGGCCTGAGAGGCAGTTGGTGCTGGGGGGAGGGGTCACCAGCTGCTGACATGCAGGAGACAAGATGGAACTGTCACCTAGACCCCCTCTCTTCATTCTGGCCCAGAGCGGCAGTTGGTGCTGGGGGGAGGGATCCCCAACTGCTTTCCCATCTCAGTCAACGACTCACAAACAAAGTGGGACTCCCTTTTGAGCTGAGAAACATTTACATATCCAAACTAAAGGTTAGCCAAGAAAAACATTATGCTCTCCATACTTTATGAGATGGACTCTGGGTGGGTGTGGGGAGGGTTGATATGATTTCTTTCCCCCTCTTTATGAATGTATGCCTTATGAACCCCAAACATGTGTCTGTATAAAATATGAAATTCCATCTCTTCGTGACCCCAGCACACCAAAGATCTCAGGAAAATAATCTCATTTCCTGGGATAGATAATCCCCTGACTGAAAGGACTCAACAGAAACCTGTGTGGACAATACAATAGGCACACACCTTCAGGCTTTGGAGCATGGCCACCTGAAGGACGTGCCCCATGGTGATTTAATCATTCTTCACAAAGAGGACATCCTGACTTCGGGAGGATTTGGATGTCCTAACTGCCTCACCCATTGTCTTCATCCCCTTGGCTGAAACCAGAGACAAGATATCAATTGATCCCATATCCAGGACTAAGGATTACCAGGGTCTGGCATCCATGCCAGACCAAGATGTTTATTTCATACACTTGGAACAATACAAAAGGCTAGCTTGAGGACTCGTGGAGTTATCGCCAGCAATTGGACAACCATTAAGCCATTTAAATCCACTCATTTCTTTCATCCCGGTTCTTTGTTTCCCACCTGGACCTCCTTCTCACCCCTCATTGGCTGAAAGGCAAAAGCGGCGCTGGCTCCCTGATTGGCCGAGGCATGGCAAAGCCAGCCGCGCCTCCCCTCCAGCTGATTACACCCACCAATCAGCATGAAGCCAGAAAGAGGGGGTGGGAGTGGGAGGTTTGAACTTTACAGTACTGTTTACTCTATAAAAATGTACTGTTCTGCCTTGCAGTTTTTGGCAAGTGATTGCAGCTTGACATCCGTTCCAGCTGGGACAAAATAAAGGCAACTCACTGGCATTTTCTTC